CTTTTTGCATAATGAGTGGGATGTACTGCGTAAGCAAAAAAATATAACTCTTCAATATAGTCCTCGTCGAACCAAATTTCCAGCTAATGATATATTTATTATATTTAAAGAGTTCCTTGACGTTAAATGCAAAATTCGTAAATTTAAAGTATTACGATTTACTCACTTAAACAATCATAACACTGAACTCACTGACTCATAACACAGAATTCCTCAGTTTCGAAGGACTTCTTCAGTTTTTTTTCTAACCACTTCTGGCAAAATAAAGCTAACATGGGAAATAATTTATATCGTAAGATTGGAAAGCCAACCTAGTCTATAACCAGGTATTTTTTCTTTGAATAATGGAAACATTTCCCTCCTTTTCATAATGGGTTCTTGTCAGTAATAAGACAGTACGGCCTTCTACGGGTTCAGGTTCCCTTGCGTCTACATTCCATACCCGTATTTACACTACTTTTTTTTAAACATACAGACTCCCCGTGTACCCCAGATGTACAACACGGGGCTTACAGAAGCAAGTTAACTAAAACATTAAAAGTTACATGCATAAATAATACGAACAAAAGCAGAGAACAGAAGTCTGGACTTCATGAAAACAGGTCAGTTCACTGGCCAAGTCACTCCAAACATTTTCAAATCATTCTGTAAGCATAATCGTAGGCCATCAAATGTAGGGATTGAGAAAACAAATGTTCCACATCCTGAGGCACTCTTTTTGAACATTCGCCCACCAGCGGCCGCGCGGGTAAAGTCGATGACATGGTAGTTCGGTCCGAGGGTTCGAATCGCGAACGGGCTGCTGCCTTGGTGTTTTCGTTTTTCCCCTGGTAACGTGTATACGAGCGTTTCCCTTAGAAAGTCCTCACGAAGGATCCCTCCCCTTAGCAGATAGCCCTCGAGGCTTGCCATAATCACCACCACTTTTTGAACATTCACGTAAATTGTTTGACCTTAGATTAAACGAAACAGGTAACTTGCAATTACTGTGACCGATTAAAAACTGAGACACTTAAAATTTATAGGAGGAAAGACTCGGAAGCAGTTCTATGGTAAAAAGAGGAAGAATTTTGGTGACCCAGATTACAAGATGAAATATATTCTCATCCATATAGCTAAAAGCTTCCTTATAAGAAAGGATTTCCAATAACTCTTTGGAATGCTAATGTTGAATCAAGGGGTAATTTTTTTGCTAAGAAATCAGCTCTTCATTTCCATAGAACCATGATGAGCACGACATAAGCAAAGCGGATATCAATTCCTTTATTTCTAAGTGAACTAACATTACTAGGGTTTCGCTAACTATTGTCGCAGCTGGTATGCTGTTCAAAATTTGAAGAGAAGAAAGAGAAGAACAAATAAGGTACCTTGAGGATGTTGTCCCATTATCCTTGGTCCATTTGACGGCAAGATAAATGCGAAGAAGTTCTGCTTGAAAAACTGTGCATTCATTCCGTATACGGTGTCTAAAAAACAAACCTCAGAATGGCCTTCAAAAAGAACAAATGCAAGGCCAACCTTGTTGTATTTACACTATTGGCAGTAACTTCAGACCCTTTCCTACTCTCACAAATAAAGATTAAGTATTAACGCATTTCAGACCCGGAGAACAGGTAGCAGTTCTCACTGGACCTCTACCTAACAGGGAATTGCCAACAACCAAGTTGTCATCGTCTTGGTGATTAACAATTTTGATTTCGAAAATTGAAAGTAGAGAATTACTACTTCAATCATAAATTATACTTATTGATTTTCACTTTTTCTTGTTATATAATGGTTTTAGACCATTATCATTCACCTTTTATTTCTCTCACGAAATCACAGATATTGTTCAGATTTGCAGTAAATGGGCAAAAATTATCTAATGCGAAAACATCCCTCTCAAATTTAGAGCCGATTAAGCTGGGGGTTTCTCTGTCCCTGAACAGAAATCGCAAACCCCGGCCTGTTTTTTTGACAAAAACTAACATAGATCCAGCACATAATGGAAATCAAAAGAGGTGCCATCATTATTGCTAAACAACTTCAGTATTTACAAGAACACAAATGGGGCACAGCCCCGTGTTGCTCTTGGGATGCTAGTTGTCTGTGATTCTAGAATGTATTTCTTCTTGGTTATTACTTTTACTTACTTCTCGTACCCTTCTTGGGGTAATCAATCAAAATTTGTACACCTCTCCTGCGAATAGTTACGCAACTGAGGGAATCGACCTACTGTGAACCCCCATATCAGGCAGGGGGAGGTCGTGGCAGGTAGGCCACATAAAACGAATTCGACTTATGGCTGGGAGTCGTGGGGCACAATCCAAACTTAGCCTCAGCCCAAAATTTACAAACCATGACTTGCCGGTCGTTTAATGCTCCGCCATACTACACGGGCAGCGCGTCCCATCAGGACATTACCTAGCAAACTCGGTGCCGTCCAACACCGTGGTGCCATCCCACGCCAAGCTACAGAACCATCTGGTATACGTCTTACGCCTTTCCCCCGGGGCCAGCCATACAAATGACCCAACCCGGGCTCTGGAACCGCCAGGCTCGTGATTTTATACCCCCGTGGCCGAGACTGCCTAGGTACAGATCCTAGCCAGTAGCTTCGCAGACTTCTCTACGTTGACCCCCGGGGGGACTTTTTGGGGTAAGTGGGGATTTGATATGGCAGTTAGAATTATATATTAATAGTAGCTTTATACCAACAGTTGTGTCCGAAGCAACTTATGTGTCTTCAGTAGCAAGTAGTAAGTCTTCAGGTTTTATGTTGTTGTCGTCGTGTACACATTACTTGGAAGAATCGTTACTAGAGTCTACTCCAAAGAGAGGTTGGACTTCTATTTTCCACCCCCAGTTTTGAGGAAGAGCGTCCGGGGGGTTGTCTGGGAGTCTCTCATCTCTCTCCTCTTCCACGAAGACACACGAGAGAACTTTCGGCTCGCCGCATATTTAGAGTGTCCCCATGCTACACAGACACTATGCATTTGCAAACACTAATGTATTCTCCGTGATTCGAACCCGGGTCCTTCGGTACCGCCGTAGGTACCCCTAGTCACTCATCTGGACGTCCCCTCATACGGGAATAGAAGGAAATGAGAGAGCAGACGTTGTCGCAAAGGAAGCAGCGGATTTATCTACTTTGCGAGAAGTCCCGACCCTTAGGCCAGTCTCAGACCTAAAGAGTCGGACATTCATTAGCTGCTAAGAATGTGGCAAGAATGTTGGGATCAAGCCTCTACAGGGAGACATGTGTACAATCTCATTCCCAAGGTTAAGACAACAATCCAAACTAATAGCAATTACATGACGTATTTCGTAACTGGTCAGGGGCCCTTCCCTTCATACCTCTGCCCTTTGGCTCGAGAGAGAATGGTAACTGTGAATGTGGAGAGGGGGATCATCCAGACCATTTTGTGTTCTCCTGTCCACACACAGCACTTAACAACCTCAAGCAACCAGGAGCCAGATTCTGGCCAAATTGGTTCCAGAATCTACACAGTAACAGAGTTGCCCAGCGGAAACTGAAAACACTAATTGACTACTGTACTAGCAATTATTCTTCTGACGCTGGAAGATAGTAGCCATAAAGTACATACTTGAGTCGTATTTAACACACATTAGGTTCTAACAATGCCATTTCTAAGCACAGTTCTCTTAGAAATAGACATCGCAGCTTCATATGGCATTTACTCTTCTTGAACTGGCACATTTATTAACCCGAAGGCAGATTACTTGCTCTGCAAAGCATAACAGTATGCACGTCAGAACTATATAAGCTAGTTCAATATTTCAGCAACAGAGTATGTGATATGTATGTTCAATATGTAATTTTGTATTTATGCTGTGCCAGGTTTTCATACACAAAGTTTGCACTGTATTATATCTATACAGGTGTATTTTTAATTTATGGTACCTGATTTATACTAAGGACCACGCGTACCTCATTGGCATGCTTCATGTAAACTTTAACTACCATGATAACGTATATTGTATAAATGTATATATGAATATGAGTATGTATACTTTTATTTGTTTCGGAATATATATGTATGGAGTTGGTAACCAATTCTGCATGGCTATATCTATACCTGGGTGTAACGAAAGTTCTAGATCAAAGTCGAATCACTCATAATCCAAAAGACGAGATGCATGGCCTGGAGGGTTTTCCATAAATTTTAATTAAACTTAATATTTACATATATATACAATGTAGGCTAAAATGCCTGAATCGAATATTAATGCTCAAAAAGCAAGAACTGAATAATTAGTTCCATCTAAAGAATCTAAATCCGAATTCTATTGCGTAGTGCATCGAAATTCTACCTTCAAGAAGACGAATATGTTTTCAAGTCACGTGTTCAGAAGGGGAAAGGTTAAGTAAGCCAATAGATGGACTCCTAACGCCATCTCTTGGCGATATCAAAGAATATTCCTTAACACTGGGTTGGAAGCCAACTCAGCGGTTTACTCCCCTAACCACTATACCGTCTGGGTGACAAATTTTATGTTGGTTGTTAAGTTAAACCACAAGCTAAACTACAAATAAGTTTTAAATTATTGCTAACTACGTTATTTTTATGCTGGTTTCAAAGTCACGTGATGCGGCTTAGTACTTGATGTAAACCAAGCAAGTTTCAAGTCACGTTTACAAATATAATTTAAGTTTGGAATTACAACACAAATTTATTTCGTAAAAAAAAAAAAAAAAAAAAAAAAAAAAAAAAAAAAGTTTAATGTATTGAAAGATTGTTATAGATGTGAGGATTAAAGTTTTCCTATGTTCATTTAATGATAATTTTAATTTATGCAATTAATTATATATATAACAACAGTTTGTTGTAATTCAGAATTATCATTCTTCCTAAACTTGAATTAAAGTCATCTTAGTTGCATAGAAGGAAGCTAATTTATTAATGAACTAATGAATCAATGAGTGAAGTTTTTAAATTCTTTGAGCTTAAATTTCATACATGATAACCTTCAAGTATTACAACAAATGAAAATTTGGATGTTTTAATAATATATTTTTTATTAAATCGTAAAACAAAAGCAACAGCATCAGGCAAGGTAAAAAAAAGTGATAGTTATATTATTACAGGAGAAATCAAAGCGCAAGTAGTAAGTCTTCAAGTTTTCTCGAAAAATATTAACTTATATACTTCAGCACTTACTAAAATGCATTTTACGTTTTTTTAAATATTGATTTAAGCCATATGTTATCCATGTAAAATAGCTTTATTCATATCTTAGGGCCTCAGACAACGCATACACATTTTTAGCGCTGTTTTCCTTGAGAATCGAGTGCCTTCTAAACATAAGATGGAAAAGTAAGCTTGCTTTGATGAAAATGAAAAATATACCATAAAATTAAATGGTCATTGCAGTAACATTATATATAATAGTTCGCAACTGAGACAAAAAGAGAATTAATATCATTCACAATACAAGAATACTTTTGATTAATATAAATGAGTCCTGTGAATGCAAAGATAATAAATAAGGTCATTAAAAATAAGCCTTATGTATAGATAAGCTTCACACGTATGAGCTTACAAATAGTACTTTATAAAAATAAAATATTGTGATAAAAAGCAATCATAAATTTGTTACATACTCTGATACTCAAATGACATACTCAAATGACTGCAATCGCTAAAGTTCATTTCTTTTAGCGATTGCAGTCATTTTCCACCATCCAACTACAATACAGTTTCTTCACTAATCTTTTCGAAGTCGTTTATTAAATGTTTCATTGCACTGCCTTGGCCATAAATTTATAAGTAAATTGCTCCGGCAACATTCTAAAGAACCATAGACTTAATCGCGCCATAGCAGGGGCACTGACGTATCTCCAGCAAGGTTCTTCGGCCAGCATAGCGTCCTCTATATCTTCTAGGAATACTTTATAATTCTTTTCCTGCTGTTCAGGACTACATTTTGTCTTCTGAATTTTCTTCTTTGTCTGCTCATAGAGATGGCGTTTTGCTTTTTTCTCCTCTGGAGACAGTTGTTGCCACATGTCTTCTATACGACTCTGCGTCCACTAATAAAAGATAAGGAAAATCAGATACTTTGTGATGGTTATTTATTTATTTATTTAGTATTTCACATTTCTTTAATTCTTATGATTTTGGTTTGGTTATTTTTTCATATTTATAGGGAATTTTGAAATTTACTGGTTTTGAATTTCACTTCTTTTGGGTCTTTGTAAAATTGGTTCTAAATTTCTTACTTTTTGTCTATAATGACTAATTTTCAGCAATATATTCCGCGTAAATAGCTTGGGATAATTTTGTTTTAAATAAAAAATTGTGATCCTTTCTCTCTCACCTCTCATATATATATATTGTTACAGATTTGGTATTTAAATACTAGCTAATGTTAGTAGAATTATAAACTAAATCGTTTTATTCCCCGTGCAGTGCTGTGCAGTGCGTGACGAATATTATGAGAAAGCGAAGCTGGAAAATAAAAAAATACAAGTGCACGTGCATTTAACATTTAATAAATAAATATCTCTTTTTGACTTCGAGAAAATACCAGAAAATTCTCGCGCATTTAAAAAGCTTTATATAAGCGGCATGAAAACTTTCAATTCGTTAACTCACAAGAAGTAATTAATAACTTCGAGCACTTTCATTTAGAACATAATCGAAATATCAATAAGATCATCTCAGTAGTGACGTTTAGGTTTCCCATTTTGGCTTCATTGGCGAAACTAAAATATCTTAGCCAGAAAGTAATCTTCAAAGGGCTAAAAATTGGAACAAAAGATAGAATTTTGAAACCAAAAGAAAATTTTTTTAATACTTCTATTAAAATTTTAATTTGAAAAAGAAAAAGATTGCTTTACTAAATAAAATGAAATTTAAGCAAATTGACTCTTTTAAAACAAAATGGGAATAAAGAATATCATTTTGTGTGAAACTTTAATTAAATTTTAAGATCAGTTATTCTTTAAAAAGTAGACTCAAAAAGGGTGCTCAAAACGTGGTCAAAATGTTTTTAATAATTCTTTTCTAGAAATGAAAAGAAAAAATCCTAAAATTGAATTTTTTATTTAAAATTAGAGAAAAAGATAAAGGAAAGCTTGAAAAAGGAAGTAAAGGAACTGTTAGGAAAGTAGAAAGTGGGTTTATCATTACAGCTTCGAATACAGAAGGTCCTTATTTAAAAAACAGAATAGTAATTAAGAGAAAAAATAAAAATAAACAAAGAAAATAATAATAAAAAATAAAATCCTATAAACTCTCTAAAACATCCTTCTTTATCCCTTTCGGAGCTTTCAGATAAAAATTCATACTGTTAAAAGGTATTATAGGGTGTAGACTGCTCCAGACTTTTTAAAAATTCTGTTAATGAATTTTATAGCAATTTTATTTTCTTTCAAAATTTTGATGAGACCTAGAACTTTTGATGCTTCTATTTCAGTGTAAACTTTTTTAACTCTGCTAATCTGGTTAATAATAATATTTGACATGACTTTAATAAACAGCAATAAATATTTTATAGTTTAAACTAACAACTATAGAAAGATATTATAACATCTTTTCTGATTTATAACTAGCTTTCTGATTCAAAAAGGCAAAATTAAAATGCAAGCAATACGCAGTTCTGTCAGAACTAGGAATTTCTTTAAGCTCCAGGGAGATAAAGAGTTATTATTTACCTGCATGATATCTGTGGTTGTGGAAAAATCGCCAGGTTCAACAGTGGCAACATGTACCCCGATATCAGCCAACTCATATCTGAGAGAAGAAAAGAAACCGTTTAAGGCATGTTTCGTGGCAGCATACACAGCTACGCGAGGACAAGGCAGTCGAGCTAAGATGCTGGTGATCGTCACTATACGACCTGGAGATTAGGGAAAGAACAAAAAAAAAAAAAAAAAAAAAAAAAAAAAAAAAAATCAGTATCTGTGAAGCAAAATTATTTCATTTATGCAATGAATTAAAAACATACAAATCTTTATAATAATAACTATGTGCCAATAAGTATTTGGACACCCATGCGAATGTCGATATCTGTAGTCCTGATTTAGATCGCGCCCTCTACCATTAAATATCGTCTAGGTCTAGGAAATAATATTCACATTAGTGGCATGCAAGATGCCACTAAGTGCAAAGTTATCTGATTTCGTGAAAGGTGTAATCGTCGGGTATCACAAAAATGGCCGTTCCTTAAGGGGCATATCTAGTGAGTTGAATTACCTAAATTCGACAGTGGCCTGCATGATTTAGAAGCGGGAGATCAGCGGTGATTCTTCGAGTCAGCAAACCCGAGAAACTTTGAGATAGGGACAGCTGGGTGCTGTCTAGAGAAATTCGGAAGAACCACACCCAGCCAATGGCCCACATACTCCAGGAGTTTAACAGGCAACCAGGAGTATTGTTTCGATGAATATTATTCCTCAGAAAGCACATCTGCTTGGTTTTCATGGTCGAAATGTTGCCAGAAGCCTCTTGTCACAAAGTCCAACCGCGCTTCTCGGTTAATGTGGTTTAAAGCACGCCGACAGTGAACCATTGATCAACGGAAACGAGTTCTCTGGAGCAACGAATCAAGGTTTACCCTCTACTGTTTGGATTGCAAGGTCTGGACTGGCGTATGCTTGGAGAAAGCCTCCTGCCAGAATGTACTGTGCTCACAGTAAACTTAGGAAGAGATGAAATTATAATCTGGGGGAGTTTCTCCTGGTATGGACTGATGCCTTGGTCCAAATTCATGGTAAACTCAACACCGACGCCTAATCCACTATTTTGGACGATAGCGTGCTTCATATGTTGTGGCAGTTTTACGGGTTGGACACGTTACTTTTAAGACGACATCGCCAGCTGGCATGCTACTAGGTCCACCATGGGTTGGTATGGTGATACTGGAGCTAACCGAATGGACTGAACTTCTCAAAGCCCAGGCCTAAACGATATCGAGAATCTCTAAGACGAGTTAGATCGCCGAATTAGGGGGTGCAACAACAGTTCAATATTGGTAAAGGAACTTAAATTACTTTTCCTAGCCGAGTGGAAGAAAATTCTAATAGTCGTCTTATAAGGACTTGTGGAAAGGATGCTCCGGATGGTTGAGGATGTAACTGGCGCTGGTAGAGGCTTTACCAGCTATTGAATATGAATAAATTTTGTTTTTCTTTTCCATAACAGGTGTCTAAATACTAATTGGTAGATAGTGTACTATGCCTGGTTTTCAGAGCATCTCTAGATTGGATTGGTTTACTTAACAATGGCAAAGCAGAGGAGAAGAACAAGGTATTTTGATCAAATCTGTAAAGGAGCCTATGCTTAATCTCAGCTTTGATTTAACATATGCATTGGCTATTTCCTTTTGAACGTAAACCTTATCTAGTTCCTTATTTCAATTTAATAGTTTTTAAAAAAATAACGAATTTACCTTTATAAGGAAATTTGGTAGTTATTTACTAAGAATTTTAAAAAATGTTTCAAGAAACTATAAATAGCTCAGTATAATGAGTGTGATTTTGCGAGATAAAACCATACCTGAAGCTGCAGCGATGAGAGGTAGAAAATATTTGGTAACTCTTATTGTCCCCAGAAGATTAACTCCTACTACTTCTTCGCACATTTCTTGCGTCATTAAGTCAAACGCTGTGTAAGAGAGCACTCCAGCATTGTTGATCAAGCAATACAAGCCTATAAACAAACAAAATGTTCAATTTCTAGCTAATGAGACTGAAATATTTAATACTTATAGACAGTTCAAACCTTTCTGAAATAAAACATAACTAAGTTGTCCCCCAAAACGCACTCAAGCCAAACCTCATTGCCGCCTTCACGTTATTCATTTAAAAGTTTTTTTCATTTTTCTGCTTCTTTTCTGATTTTTTTTTCGGGGTGATCTTTCTAAGTTCTTGTTTTTTTCCTTTTTTTCTTTTTATATTTTGATTACTATTTTTTACGGTAAGGTTCACTTCATCCTTCACAGTAATTTCTTCAAATAAGTATATTTTTCCGCTCCACAAAACTTTTGGTTTATTTTATTGTGCTTTTTATTTGCTTTCCTGTATGAATGTAGTCATAAAATCAAAGAAAGATTACTCAATATTTATTATATCGATATAATTTTAAAGTTCCGACTGGTGACTATGTATTTATGTATATGATTTTGGTGGCTATTAAAGCAGACAACGCCAAGTTCGACATCAACTCTAAAATTGCTATACTTTGATCAATCCATGCCATTGTCAAAAAATCCTCAGCTATAACTTACGAGTAAGTTGCAGATTAACACTGAAATTTTCATATAATGAATAAAGACAAAGCACTGTCTTGGAGTTATTCATTCTCTATACTTGATTTTTATAATTACAGAATTCTTCATTCATTGCATAATTGTTTTTATTCATTTATTTATTTGGAACATTTTTCACGCAGGCTTTCCGATTACAAACGTTTTTCAAATGAACAATTTTAATTATCTTCTTTTTTGCTTCCTTGTACGAAGTATTGTCATCGCGAAAAATTTCGGGTATCATATTTCAATGAAAATATCCATTTTGACCGCTATCGAACGCAATTTAACGATGTTTTTGCGTAACATCTGTACGCAAGGACAAAACAAAGCATACCTTTCCCTAAAAAAGTTATAAACTGATTTAAAATGGATTCTGAAGACATTTTTTTCGTGGCGTCTGTACGTACGTACGTATGTATATGTATGTAACTCGCATAATTGAAAAACAAGTAGATTCAGAAAGTTAAAATTTTCCATATTGGACTGCTATGTAGATGTGCACCTCCTATTTTGGATGAATCGGCCGCACCAAAAGTATATAAATATATGTAGATATATAGATATATCCACTATGTTACTCGGCTGAATGAGCTCAGTTTCTTTATTCTCATATATTTGTAAATTGTGCATTTTTTGTTTTAAAAGTGAATGCTTGAATTATGTTGTTCTTATCTTCTGGTTAAAGTTTTTATGCCTTTAGTTAACCTGCATGTTATAGTTGTAGAATTATCAACAATTTAAAAGTTATTTAAGTGCGGGTAAGCATAATTTTTTTTTTTTTTTTTTTTTTTTTTTTTTTTTTTTTTTTTTTTTTTGCCATAGAACCCATATTTGTTTACATTTGAAACTTAGCAGAATAAAGATTTGTTGCCAATCTAGAGAAAGTAAGCTTCGCAACAACAAAGTAACGACTTATTTTATTATGGCGAATTAAATTATGCTTAATCCGTTCTGAAATTAACATTTAAGTTATTAAATTATTCCATATATTGATTCAGCATAGCGTCCACAACAAATTAATTCAGTTTTTCCTATATCTTTAAATTTTTAATGAAGATACTTTGTGTATTTATTATTTTTGCCTTTCCGGTCAGTGAGAACTAAATTGAATGAGAAATGCATCCCTAATGAAATTCGAGGAAATAAGTGTTTCATACTAGCAGAAAATACTGTGTCTAGTCTGTTTCGGACAGAGGAGAAAGTTTACGAGTAGCGCATGCGCATTAGGTAAGCAGCGCTGAATCGTCTGTGAAAAATTGTTTATTTTTATTTGTTGAATTCCTTTTATATACCGTTTTAGATTTATTATTGTATTTGAATAGAACATGTGGCAACGATTAGATAATTCTTCAGACGATATTTATTTTTATTTTTATTTTTATTTTTTCATTCTGAGTTACAAAATGAATGAGATGTAACGCTGTTAAGTCTTCAGACGATATTTTTTTTATTTTTATTTTTATTTTTATTTTTTCATTCTGAGTTACAAAATGAATGAGATGTAACGCTGTTAAGTCTTCAGACGATATTTTTATTTTTTTTTATTTTTATTTTTTCATTCTGAGTTACAAAATGAATGAGATATAACGCTGTTAAGTCTTCAGACGACATTTTTATTTTTTTTATTTTTATTTTTTTCATTCTGAGTTACAAAATGAATGAGATGTAACGCTGTTAAGTGAATCTAGCTCCAGACTATCTCTATAGTAAATAAATAAACGGAATTTTAAAAAGAGTATTTTTTCTGTTGTGGTTTATCCGGTATCGAAGTAGATTTAATTCAATTCAATACGTTTAAATGAAATGCAGGGAAAACATGCGTACAATTTAATATTACGTTATTACGTACAAGAAGTCATGTGGTGTACGCATCAGATTTTTTTTTACATTTGGAAGTACATCTGATGCTGCTGAACTTATTGACTTGGACATTGCTTCACTTTTCCGCCAAGTAACAGATATATTGTTCCGAACTGCAAAATGGTTCAATGTTTCTCTCCACCAATAGGAAAGCTGAAAAATATATAATTAAGAACTAACCTTTTTCTCCGTGCGGTATGTTAGCTTTAACGTAGGCTACAGCTTCTTTGACTTGGTCATCGTTTGTGATGTCCATCGGCAGGATATGAAGACGAGAGGAGCAGCATTCTTTCAAACTGCGCGCTCCTTGTCCTGATGGATTTAGACAGCCTGCAAACACGTGCATTCCCAGTTCGTCAAATCTCTTGGCCAAGCGGTGACCCATGCCAGAATCACAACCTAGGTAAAGCAAAAGTTTGTAAATTATTTATTAAAATTCTGCATTTTTTTAAACATCACACAAACCTCTATCTCAGCTTCAAGATTTTCTCCAAATACACGATGTACTCAGGCTTATTCAAAATAATTGACCGGATTTCACTTGTGCAGAATGAATTAACTTATATTATTATGATATGTATGAGATGAAAACTGAAATTTTCAGATTTTAGGATGTCACAAATAGATAATAGTGTTCATTTGGTCCACGATAAAAAGCAACTTCACAGCAAAAAGCTTCTCCTGTGCTGTCATTTTTCAGCTGTCTTCCTTTCTTTTTTTAGCCCAAAGGGGCAATTTGTCCCTTCGGGCTAAAAAAATGTCTTCGTGATGTAGTGGTCAGCACGCTCGGCGCGTATTCGAGAGGTCCGGGGTTCGAGTCTCGGCGAGGGCGTAGCTCATCTTTCATCGCTCCCGCTTCAAAATAACCTAATGTTTATACATTTTTCAAATTGTTGCAACCAAATATTAGAACTCTGCATTATAATTAAAGAAATTAAATAACGAAGAATCTGCATGAATGGGTGTATGTTTCCCGCACTGTGGAGAAAACAACGGTACCGAGAGACATCAAATTTTGAATAACGTAGTCCTCCACTAGAATATGGGAATCTGGAAGCCCAAATTTGGAAACTGAATTTGTTTAATTATCTATTTCATATTTTGTAAATCTTTAACGAATTTTTTAGTTATAAAACGATTTTAAAGCGAGCAATTATAACACTGTACGGGAAAAAAACTATTTTTACCTTCAGCAGGGACCCTGTGTATCGGAAATTCTAGAGATGTGCTCTTTTTAAATTATTTTGTGGTATTGCTGTTGAACTGAATTTTAGGTTTTAAGTGAAGTGCAAAGAACTTGATATTAAGTAAATAGAGATAGCACAGAAAACGTCTCTTTGAGCGTAATAGAAAATCTCCAAGCTTTCAGAATTTTTTTTCCGCCTAAACACGTCGAAGGAAACGCCTTAAAATTTCAACTTGTGTATCGTTTTCAGCTCTGAAATTTCATGTCTTTTCAAAATAGAACGTATTTCACTGCCACCAAATTTTTGTGGAAGTCTCTCGCGCAAATGATCGTGTGAAATAAATCCACAACAAGGTATTGAATAATTAAGTATTTTCACTATTAAATAAATGCACTATGTCTCTACATGACATTAATATGCAGTGAAATCATATCAAAAACGATTTTTCCTACCATTTGGTTTTGCCATTTAGAACAGCTTATTTTAAATATAAGATTTCGTATTTTTAAATTTCTTTGGTATTAATTCGTAAACAAGGCTTTTTGTAACGGCTTAAGTATATTTTAGGTATCAAGTTGAACTAAATATGTAGCAATTTTTTACTGATCTTAAAATTTCATATTTTTAAACGTTTTTATAATCTTTTTAAATGTAAACCTTTCGTGATTTAGACGTAATCTGAAATTTTCCGGCTGCAGCTTTTTCCTTTGTTGTTGGTTTTTACCTATTTCAAATAAGTTTTATTGACATCGTATAAGTCATACACTATTTCCTAGAGACATCATTCCTAAATGGTGTCGGTAATTCGAAATAATTTGTCGTATTGCTAAGGAAGTGCACCTTCGATCGTAACGTTTTTGCCGTTGCCAGGTAGCGGTAAGGAAGTTATAATGTTGCGTCATTACACATTTGACCGTAAAATATGATTTGAAATCCCGCATTATTGCCGCTGAGAATCCAGTAATAAGTGATACGCTGGAGTATTGTGGAAAATATTTGATTGTTATTTTGATATGCTCGTATAACTAAAGAAAGTTCCATAAAGCATTTGCAAGCAAACCTTCGGCAGTTTCCTCTCTTATTTAATGTACCTGTTTTCCTATGTTTTCATACTTAATAAAACCATTTGAAATCAAGTCAACCATTTTAAATAACCCTGCATTATAAAAACCTCTAGACAAACTTTGGCTAATCTTTGGAATATGGTAACAGGTAGTTTGGCGACATTTTGGTAAGGCGATAAAGGTTACTAGCTATGAGTTTAGCAGTGTACATGGATAAAGTTAAGAGTGTGCGCAATGCCATTTTTTTGCAAGTCTGGGATGTTTTTTTTAAGTGAAAATAGGTCGACGTGTACATGGATTGTTGCAGCCAAATATTTTAGGTTTTAAGTGCAAATAACTTGATATTAAGTAAATAGAGATAGCACAGAAAACGTCTCTTTGAGCGTAATAGAAAATCTCTAAGCTTTCAGAATTTTTTTCCGCCTAAGCACGTCGAAGGAAACGCCTTTTAAAATTTCAGCTTGTTTATCGTTTTCAGCTCTGAAATTTCATGTCTTTGCAAAATAGAACGTATTTCACTGCCACCAAATTTTTGTGGAAGTCTCTTGCGCAAATGATCGTGTGAAATAAATCCTCAACAAGGTATTGAATAATTAAGTATTTTCACTATCTATGTTCAATTCTTAAAAACGCGGCAAGCAGTTTGCGATTCTGCACTTTCTCCCAATTTCGCACCTAATCTTCGTCATGATTAAGCACTTTTGTTCCATAAGAGTTCTAGCATAAGCGTAATTCGGCTAGCAGATTGTTGGCAAAAAATGTTGAGTTAAAAAAAAAAAAAAAAAAAAAAAAAAAAAAAAAAAAAAACATCAGGTTGCTGTAGCAGGGTTGGTCGCCAAAGTTTCGCTAAAAAATCGCCAAGTTACCATAATCCAAAGATTAACCCAAACTTTTAATAATTCTATTTCTTTATAATATTTTGATGTACACATGAAAACTGATATTGTAAGGTATTTCTCCTGCCTTTCTAGCGTGCCTTCGTGGTGTAGTGGTCAGCTCACTGAGCCGGTATTTCAGAGGTCCGTGGCCGGTATTTCAGAGTCCCAGCGAAGGCGTTGCTAATTTTTTATCTCTTCTGCTTCCAAAAATTACCTAATGTCTCTACAGTGGCGATTGGGTCTCCTAAAAGACCCCAATGATATACTGATAACTGATATAACAATTAGGGATGGAAATTTCTTTAAATGTGAAAATCAGTTAGTGTAGATATGATCTTTAAATATTTCCTACTCAGATTACTGTAAAATTAATTAAAATTTTATATCCAGTAGAAATATATATATATATATATGTATGTATAGGTAGATAGTATATATATATTGTGTATATATTATTGAAAAGAAATGTAAAGTGAACTGGTAATTAGAAGACAAGACTTATCTGGTCTCAAAACTTTTGCGCATATGCTGCAAAAAGATTTGAAAGAATAGTAGTAGGTAGGAACATTGCAGCAACCTTGCTAAAAGTTACCAGAGCTGTAGCTCCACGAAATGTTGTAACATAGTACTACATAATAATAAGAAATTTGCCTGGTAAAACTGGAAAAACTGTATAAGCGCGATAAACTGCCAAATTTTAGTGCTGGAAGACTTGCTATTGCACGAAAAATATTAATGAATCTGACCGTTGTGTAATGTGAAAAGTTAACTCACATGAAAAAAAGATGGACGGAAAAAAAAATATATATATATTAGGAAGTTACAAAAAACATGGATTATAAATGTCAATATATAAAATGCCTATACATAAAAAATTAAAATTAAAATTGCCAATATATAATATGCCAATACATAAAAATTAAAAAAATAATAAATATAAAAAAGACTCAAAAAGCATAAAAAACTAGCTACAAAAACAATAATTAAATAGCGGAAAAATGGTATATTAGCCCACTCGTACTCTCAGTTGGGTTTTCAAGGGAAAAAAACTGTTCTACGAAATAGGCTAAATACCATTACGCATTTCGCCGAGTATATATCCAGATAGTACATATATATATGTATAGGTAGATAGATATAGATATAAAATTGTCAGAGAGCAAATAATATTATATGTTACTATCCGATTTACCTGTAACAACAACTGATTTGTTTCCTGCTCCCTTTTTCGGCTTAGGTAACCTCCATGACCAATGGATTAAAAACAAAGGGATGCTAATCATCTGAAACCGGTAATCTAAGGCGAGAGCTATCAGCCAATCTAGTACTACATTCCTAGTTTCGTAAGCCATCTGAAAATAGAATATTTGATTATAAAATTTGAAATTTAGTAACTGAAATACTTCAACTGAAAGGAATTTAATGTCATCAAAAGTTAAACATAATTCATCAATGAGTTTTATGACTGCATTCTTAAAAAGCTGAGATCTGAAGCTAATAACTTTATTAAAATTTAGCCTTCTGTCCCCATTCTTTGTGATGCCATACATCAGTGTATAGCATCGAAAAACTTTCATTAGGTTTTGGCATGTTTCACAGATGCGTTTTGTTGGAACGCGTTTTCATTCCATCATTACAATATCCTGAAATTTCTAAAATGTCTTAAAAATGGTACCTTTAAGGAAAGCTTTTGCCACGTCAAGTTGATTTTTTAAATGAAAATGTCAATTTTGAAAGTTATTTTTTATATTTGCTTATTAAAGTATCTTTTTTTGTTCAGCTTTGATGAATCTGTTCATATATTGTACAAAAAAAAATCTTACGTGTTAAAAAATATTAATTTTTTAGAATTAGTTTTTCGAAGATCCATCAACCTGTTCTTTAACAAAATCATGAGCAGGTTTTGAGCAAATTTCCAAACAAAAATTCAGAGGTTAGAGAAAATAAATTATATATTCTCCGAAAACAAAATCAAATTAAAAAAAATTGTAAAATAAACTTTCAATTAATACTCGTGAAACAATTAACAAACTAAAAAGAGATTAATTATTAACAAACTAAAAAGAGATTAATTATTAACAAACTAAAAAGAGATTAATTATATATCACGTAATTCAGTGGGAGAAAGAGATTAAATAATTATCTTTACAAAATTCATGTATAGTTTTATATTGTGAATAATAAAAGCGAAAGGCGCCCTTGGTAAATTTATAATCATTATGAGAATGATTTAATCTCTTGTTCCTATCAAACTATAGAATAAATTATTTCCTCATTTTAGTCCATTAATTCTTTTATGAGTTTCAAGCAAAAACTTAATTTAAAAAAAAATCATCTTTTTGTTCTCAATTATTCAACTGAGAATCGTTATTCAACGTTGAATAATCTATCTTTTACTTCCAACAATTCTGTTACGTCGAATGGCCGAATAAATCCAGTGATTATAAGGAAAAATCAGAAATAACATTAACTACAGTTATTCAAATAAAAAAAAAAAAATTCCGTTCTATCCGAAGTATTATCGCCCTGCATTCTATCTAAAGAAATTAAATAACGAAGAATCTGCATGAATGCATGTATGTTTCTCGTAGTAAATAGTCCCTAGAGCTATCAAATTTTGAATAACGTAGTTCTCCACCTGAACAGGGGCACCTGGAAGCCAGAATTTTGAATTTTTGTTTTATTATCAATTTTATATTTTGTAAAACACTTCATTAAAAAATTTCAGCAATTTCAAAGACAGCAATGGCAACACTGTACAGAGGGGGAAAAAAAAAAGAAAAAAAAAAAAAAAACATTTTTCTTTCCAGCGCGCGAGACTGTCTAGCGAGAATTCTTAAGATATGCTGTTTTTAAATATTTCGTGATTCTGCTGTTGAGTTGAATGTTAAGTGGCATAATGTTAAGTGTGATATTTAATAAGTAAAGTAAACACAGAAACCGTTATTTATAAAAAGGCGAAGAAAAGTTTTGTAAAGCCATCTTAGTAAGAAAACTGAATACTGAAGAGATAAACTGATGGGTTAAAAAAATGTATGCTAACACTTAACGCTGATTGCATATTGCGTAAGTGCAAAGAAAATGATGCTTAATAGTAAAGGTAAAAAGGCCAAACAAATGTGTCAGTAAAGTGAGTGTAACAGCAGATTGATAGACTACGAGCTCAGCGAGGGCATAAAAGCCTTAACAAAATCTTTCGGGCCACTGTTCAAATCTGAAACCTTTAAATTTTTTATTGCAGAATTTTTTCATATAAGTTTTAATAAAATTGAATTTCCGTTTTCCACAGCTATATTAATAGAATTAAGTGCAACAAAAAGTATTCAAATCTATTTCCTTTTCTAATGCTGAAACGTTAATATCTATTTGAATACTGCTATTTGAATAAATAAATAAAATAATAAATAAAAGACTGAAGACATTAAAACAAAATATACGTATAAGGTAATTTAATTTCTGAAAAATCAAAATGCCTTTGGAAACCACACCAGTTTCATCAATTTTAAGGTACAGCATGTGTCGAAATAAATCAGAATTATCTATTATTATAATCCATAATCTGGATGGCTTAACTGTAAACACAAGTAGGCTTGCTCAAATTTTCTGTAATATTAACTGCAAACAAATCATCTTCTCAGCATACTTTGCTTCGGGTCAGTGGGAATTAAATTTCACAGATAAGAAGAAAACAAAATAGTATATAAAACACGGTCTTTAGAGTGAAAAGATTTAATATCTTGCCTTATAAATCCAATTCTAATTCTTTAACTCATTTCTTTACGGTGCACAAACTGGCTTTAAAAATGTTTGGAAATTAAAATTCAACTTTCAGCGTTTTTCTAGCATATTAGAATATAATATAGTATATAATTCAAATAACACTGGAATTGTTACAAAAATTTAGAACTGAATTAATAAGAAGTCTAGATCTAATGCATCTATCGGACTCAAATACTTATGTACAAGTAAACTTTGAAGTAGACAACAAGCAGCGTTTCACCCGAAAGCATGGACTTTTTTTTTGCTTCGAAATTAATTTTTACAAATGTTGAACCTGACAATTTTGTCAAGTTTAGAGGGTGACAGAGGATGCCATTGACAGAGATGCTATTGAGCGAGCATATAGCAATTTTCGGTTTCAGAAGCAATACAAAATTTATCTTCAGATGTAAAGAACATTTTATCTTGTAGGTCGCAATGAGAAAGCATGTTTGCATTTTGTTCTTTACATAAATTTTATAAAATGCATTTTTGTACATTTCGGTACCAAATAGCAATATTATTCTAGATTTTTATAAAATATGATTTTATACGACATAAATTTCCTAAAAATTTAATAAAAACATTTGTAAGTTTATAAACGTCATTTAATTTAGGAATACCAATTATTCTTTGAATACCAATTACACTTTATCAATTAAATTATTCATACGAAATTCCTAAATTTTTATGAAATATGGGAATTTTGTGTAAATTAAAGATCTTTAATTAAGCAAGATTAAATCTTTATAAAAATATTTCCTTAGTTTATTTAAGAACTAGTGGAGCAAAGATATATTATTTGGAACTTTTAACAGTCATTTAAAACATTAAAATTCAAATTGTGTAGAACCATATCAATATGCCTGGTTGATTAAAAAACTATGATTTTAATCATCGAAACATTTTAAACCTAGAAGTTAATTTTAGAACACCAATTTTTAAAAACTTTATACTCAGAGTTTAAGTTTTAATATTCTAATTTAAATGCGTGTTATATAAGTACTAAATTTCTTATCGTAAATAGACTCTAATAAAGGCAAATAGCTTCAAAATCTTAACCAAGAATAAATAAAGTATTAAGACGAGAAATCCCCACCCTCTTAATACAAATAGAACTGGCTTTACAGTTGAATACTAATAATTACTATGTTAAATGTGTACTAACAGTTTAATAGTAAGAACTTTCCTACTTGAAATAACCATTTTTCCATGATCTCATGCAATTAATCCCTTTCTTGCTATCTAATTAATTAGAATTCTGCACATTGATTTTTATATAATAAAAAGGTAACTAGCTCCTTACCTTTTCGGATGCAAATGAATACATATCTGACATGAAAATATAGTCAAGTTCGTCAGCCGGAGAAGTTCCGCCTGACAGCGCGTTCTCATCTTCTCTGTCACGCTTGAATGATGCCAATTAAAGGGACCTTTTCGTTATAGAGCCTTAAAGCGATTTCGTTACAGAGATCTAAAAAATTAACTAACTTTTTTTTTGTCACCCGAAGATTACAATTTACGTTTTTACGACAGCAATGCGTTCCCATAATTGTTTTCCGTTCCAGGTCTTAAGTTCTTTAAGTGGGATAGGTATTATAATACCAATAACAATAAAAGTAAAGTAAGGAAAAAAAAAAAAAAAACTTAAAAATAACCATCAGCAGTTATTTCCGGAAGCGTGCAGAGTTTCATAAAAACATCTTTTAATTAAATATATATAAATGCATGAATGAATAAAAATTAAATGAATACATAAAAATATAAATAAATATATAAATTATATCCGAAAGCTTTCAGATTTTATATTACGCCCTAAGGGATTTTTTTTAACATTTTGTGTGTTATTTTTATTTATTAAATACCATGTTCTTCGCACTTAAACCACATAAAATTAAATTCAGGAGCAATATCACAAAATTTAAGAACAGCGTATCTCTAGAATTTTCGATAGACAGTCTCGCGCGCTGGAGATAAAAATGTTTCTCCCCCCCCGCACAATGTTGCCATTGCTCGTTTTAAAATCGTTGAGTTTCTTAATCAAAAATTTGTTAAAGTGAAAGCTATGAAGTAGATAATAATTATGAAATATATAATAAACAAATTCGAAATTGAAAACAATGCTTCTAAGGACTTTTTTAAAAATCTTTACGCCATTAAGCTAGCACGTTTTAAAAAAGTCACTAAATCCGTACATTTAAGGATTGGCTTCAGAATGATAGTTTTCAAGCATACTTGCTATGATTTTGGGACATTTTATAATTCATGTAAAAAGGAAAAAAAAAATTAAACTTTTTTTTTTTTTTTTTGCCTATATAAGTTTTTCAAGGCAGTTGCAAAAGAAGGCACAAAATATTGCTTTTTACTTGGTCATAAAAAAGCAGGAAAAATCAGAGAAATTGAAAGTGCAATTTAAGTGAGTTTTCAAAGGTCATTGTTAGAATAAATATGTTAGACTAAAAACTGCATTCTGTTTACATTCTTTATCTTCATTACCGTGAATCGCACTTGCAAACAAACAACATATATCAGTTGCATTCTTAAAACTATTGTACTTGACGTAAGTCATTTGTGCAATTTCTTATCTATATCA